AGTTTTATTGCGAAGTAGGGTACTCTTCCATGCAATAAAACCACAACTTAAAGGTTATTAAATGGGTATGCCTAATGGGATAATTTAAAAAAGAGAAACAAAGACGACTTTTCCAGGTGTTTAAAAAGCAGCAGCGAGAGATACCCGCTTTTAACTTGCAGGCAAACCCCCCCTGCCTCGTGAACCCCAAAAGAAAAGCCAAGCCCTGACCTCAAGCAGCTGGAAGGAATTTCCTCCAGCTCCACCTCTGGAGCTGGCCCAGCGCGAGGACCCGCAGCGCGGCGATGGGAAAAATCGCAAGCAGCTGCAGAGCCAGCCCCCGAAACCAGCATCGCTGTCGCCCGAGAGATGCCGAGACGCCAGGCGGCCGCATCGCCTTCACCTGGGATGGAGCTGGGGAAAGCTCAACGCTGCTCCGGCTGGGAGCGATGTCCTTCACCATCCAAAAATGGGGGACAGCAGATTGAGAGCAGGGGAGAAAAAAAAAACACCCTCGGCGTGCTGCGATTTTAGTAGAGCTACGGTGCTTCTGTGGGGACGGTGTCAGGCCACAGCCTGGCCGCACCCAGCGCCGGCTCCAAGCATCCAACCGGACCCACCTCCTTCACCGCAAAAAGCCGGCAGCGAGCGGAGGAGGAGCGCGAGCGACGGCGCACGGCTCGGCAGCGTTATTGATTAGCGGGATTAACGGCGGCGCGGCAAGGCGCGCTGCTCCGCGACTGGGGAACAGAGGAAACTTTTGGGTGTCAAGCGGAATTGCAACCTCTTTATTTTACCCATTTCAGCTGCGTGCAGGTTTGGGGGACAGCGGTGGATTTTTGTTGTATGCCTGGACAACCAAGAAACCAAACTGACCTCCAACCAAGAACCGCCTCGAACCTTTGATCCCTTCTCCCCGAGAGCGAATCCGATGCTTGTTTTGAACTGGAATCAGGAAATTTCCTGGCTGCGTTCCCTGGCTGGCCGACGCCGAGCACAAAACCTTAACCCTCTCCACCGCCTTAGGGCAGGGGGACGCGGACAGAGCGATGTGACAACGGGACGAAGCAATCAGCCACTGGAAAAAAAATAGAAAAGTCTTTATAATGAAAGAAATACCCGGCAGCGCGACCGGTACCACTGCAATTTTCAGCAAGTGCTTTTGATTCTGGACAGTTTAACAGACAAATGATCCCACGACCTTAAAACCGAAGAGCACCTTTAAACGTGAAAATGTTTTTGCTCCCGTTAGGGGAGAAACATGCAGAAAATAGGTCAGCTGCAGCTCCCATCGCCGAGTTTAAAGTCAAGTGCTTTTGCCCAGCGCCGTTGGAAAGGCAAACCAGAGGTTTGCTCAGGGTTGATTTTGCAAGTTCCAGGAAAAAAAGGCAAAAATTAAAAAAAAAAAATAAAAATCAATAGCGCTTTTTTATCCGGTCTGCAGGAGGGGGGTGGCGGAGTTTGGAGGAGAGCCCTGCTTGGGCTCCCATCGGATCGCAGAAATGAGAAATGGAAATCACTTATCAGGAGGGTTTGAAGCGGAGTCGGCAGCTTCTCGCTTTGAAACGCGCACACGAGCTGCCCGAGTACGGTTCAGTTTGCTTCTCGGCAACGAAATAACACTTGAGGAATTTTTTTCCCTTTGGCCCTGGGGATTTTTTCTATTTCCCCCCCCCCACTTTTCCTGGCACGCGGCTCCCTCCCCGATCCAACGTCACGACCCGCTGAGCTCACTCTTCCTCCCGAAAGCGCTGCTGCCTCCTCCTGCCCCCAGCCCCGTTCATACTCACGGCAGCGAAAGCTGAAGTGTCCCCCCCCCCCAAAAGCCGGTACCCAGCGTGGGGTCACGGTGATGGGACCGCATCACCCCGTCGCTGCCTCCATCCCCGCCTGCCGCCCTGGTGCTCGACGGAGCAGCGTCGCCCAGTACCACGTAGCTCAGGTGCTGAAAAATTTAATAACACGCACGTTATGAAAAACGGGAGTATTTTAGCCCAAGGGAAGCACCGAAAGCCGGGGCTGAAGTCGGGCGTCACCGTAGGGTGGGCAACTTCACACCGCACGTTGCAGCCCCCCTGCCCCTATCGCTTTGTTTGGTGGAAATAATCTTCCGCCTCCGTTTGCGGTTGCTTTTCCTCGTTTGCAGAGTTTTCCCCAGGGAATGGGTTCTTTGCTGGGGCGGGGGGAAGCAACGAGGGGGGCTGCCGAAATATCACATCTGGAAGAAAATCTCGCTTTGGTCAAGTCATCTTCAGGCTGAACAAAAGCAAATCGCTTTCTGCGGAGCAGAAGAGCGACCAGCCTTCTCCACTCTTTTATACTGAGAAGCAGATGGACTAAATGACCTCCTGAAACCCTTTTCCCCCTGTTTCCTAAGCTCCTTTAATGGGGGGGGGGGCAGAATAAATCCGTGCAAACCCGGGGATCAATAATCCCTACAAAATCCTGCTGGAAGTAGGCACCCTGTGCCGGCGATGGGAATCGCAGCTGCTAGCAGCCATCCCATAAAGGCAGTAAGAGGAGCCAAGCACAATTTGGGATGCAGGAAGGCATAATGCTCTCGTTTACACTAAATAAGGTTGCTAGGTTATGGATTTTTTTTTTCGGGGGGGGCCACAATCTGAAAGGGGATCCAGATGGCTGTAAAGCCTTGTGGTGGAAAAGCAGCATGAGGCCAGAGAGGGAAGAATTCCTCTTTATGCTGCTGCCATCTGCTCCCGGATCCTGGATTTCAGTCCTCAGGAATGCTCTCCGCGGACCCTTTTAATTGCACCGTTTGTATTTGCGGTAAAAATTAAGGAGAAGAGGTAGCTGGACGCAGAAGAGCGAAAAAGCTGGTGTCTGGATACCGGAAAAAAGTCACTAAAACAAATCCTACGGAGGAGCCGTCCCCCAAAGCCCACGTCGATTCTGCAAGGTTTGTATTTTAAGATGCTGACAGCATTAAAAAGCCTTCAGGAAAACCCAAACAAACCCAAACCTCAGCCTGCTGGGAATTTACACTAATGCCACGTCACTGCCATTTGCCATTTCTCCTAATACTTACAGAAAAATGAGCTGCGCAGTCGGCCCGCCCTCCCTCTGGTTTTAACAAAATTACTGGGGTTTGGGGGGAGTATTTTTTTTTTTTTATTGTACCTTCTGCTCTGCTAACAGAGACCGGGGGGATTTTGCAACGCTTCAGAGTAAAGCAAAAAAAAACCTCCCCGGAGCCATACGGATACGGGACACAAACTGCTTCACTCCCACGGGATCGGCACAAGGAAAGGTGCCTGCAAGGTTCACAAAAACCTCAAAACGTAGCTGGAAATGGAAAATCGAACTTTTCCACTCCCGGGCTTGCACGGCCAAGCGAGGTGCTTGATGGAGATAAGTATGCATAAACCCAAGACACGCATCTCCTCCTCCGCGGCGCAGAGTCTCGGCGCTGAAGGCGACGCCATGGGATACCGTCCTTCTCCCCTCTTCTCCCCAGCGCCCGCGGCCGGACCTTAGCGGGATGGAGAAAGTCAAGGGACCTCAAAATTCAGGGGTACCCGCACCCCGGGGGTCTGTAACCAGGAGGTGATGGAGAGCCACGCGTGAATTTTCAGCATTGCCTACCCGCACCCCTCCTTTGCCCGAGGACGTCGCTTCTTACACAGGTTTCTCATAAACTGAGCCCTAAATAAGTAAAACCCCCCGTTACGGGTGTGCTGCTGATGCGGGACTTGTTTAAAAAAACCACAAAACCAAACAACTTTTGAGAGGGTTACTTAAAGGTTGCATTTTTTCTTGAAGCAGACAGAACAAAACCTGCTAAATATTTTCGGACCCCTTCAAGGCTACCGGGGCCTCCTCGGGCAGCGAAGCTAAAACCCACCAATGTGACTTTCAGGCATGTAATAGTTTGCTGTCGGATCTTTACAAATTCCAGGGCGCTGGATCGCCTACTATGAGGCAAAATATATGAGTGGCACTAACGAGTCGGCTTAGCAACGAGCAGGCAGGCTGCCTCGAGTGTCTTTTTAAAGGTCAAGGGAGCACATGATGCCTGGGAGCCCTCGCGTTCGGTTTTTACTACGAGTTAAAGACACTTTTGGCGAGTCTGGTTATTAAATTGCCGCCTCGCAGATGTCCAGCCACACATCTTTTAAAACCGGTCTTTAAAACCAAGGCTTTCCCCTCCTCAAATATCATTATCCCTCTTTCAACCCATTCCTACCCTTCCCCATCTTCACCAAAATGGTGGCATTTGAGGGGAAAACCCGCGTCGAGATGAAACGCAAGGAAAGGTCCCGCCGCCGCGGGGATTTTTGGGTAGCGCTGCCGAGAAGCATCATTGAAATTCAGCGGGAGAAGCCAGTTTTCCTCCGCTCCGCGGGGGCTGCCATGTTAAGTCACATTTGGATTCACAGTACAAGGCTGCTAAAATACCACCGGGGCGGCTATTGGCACATTTCAATGAAAACGCCGCAGCCTCATTAGTATAGTGGAAATTATGAGCTTGTCTTTGTATATATTTAAAAGCTCGCCTCTGAAAGTATATTGGGTCGGGGCCAGAAATTCCTGGCTCGGAGCTCCTACCACTCGACAGTTCGGGATTGCCTCGCTCACGCAGGTCAAGCGACCGCGCAGCCATCGACCCGGGAGAAAAGGCATTTAAAAAATACCCTGCAGGGAAAGGCGCGGGGCAATGTTGCAAGAGGAGGCAGAGCAACGGGGCTTGAACTAAACCCTCCTCCACGTCAGCTCCGTGCGAGCCGGTTAGTGATCGTGTCCTAACGAAAGCACGGGTTATAATTAAGAGGATGCAGGAACGTGGGGTGCGTGGAGTTTCATCCCGCTCCCAACAGCCGGGGCGAGAGCATCCCGTCGACCCAAAAGCGACGTTCCCCTCCGGGGATGGACCACAAAAGCCCGAATCCTTTGCAAGAAGGGGCAACCTCGTGGAAGAACATCGTTTTCAGGATCTGCTCATCTCAATATGCGATTTTGCAAGTCTCTATCGAGGAAAGCTTTCGGGTCAGCTCCCTACTTACCCGCACGGGCGCCGCAACGCAGCCAAGCCACGCAAACCCAACGTATCTGCTGAACGGCTACCGCGGTTTGGTGCCAGGGATGCTGGAAAAAAAAGAAAAAAAAAACACAACCCTAATATTGCACAAAAAGCCAGAGCGAGCGAGGGAGAGGATGAAGACGCTGGTTTTGGACGCTTTGATTCGCAAAGGCTCCTATAAATCGGTGCGGCTCTTCGTAACAGCACAGAGATCCCCTTTTAAAACGCGGCGATGACGTTACGCGGCATAAAAAAAAAAGGGGGGGGGGGGGGAGGCTCGGCTAATCCTCGCAATTTTATAAGCATCTGAGACACTAATCCGTTGATCTCATTGAAAAGGATTAGAATTACTCCCTTGCCAGTAAATTTAAGAAGTTTTCAACCAGATGTAAACAAAAGCGGAGAGCAGCCCGCGGAGACGGCTGCCACACAGCGAGTCCTCGATGAGAAATCCTCATCGGGGCTGGTTTTGGGGTGGAAAAGGGGAATTTCCATCCCAGTGCTGTGGAGGGTCACCTGGAGCGATGCCAGCGTCCGAGGCGAGCCCAGCCAGCTCGCCCGGCTGCAGCCGAAAGGTGGGATCCCGTCCCGGGCAAGCATCCCGCCGGGGCGTCACGACCCGTTTCTGGGGTCCCAGTCCTACGGGCATGACGCTCCAGCTAAAATAAAAATATATCACCCCAACGCCTCCCCC